TGTGTGTGTGTGTGTGTGTGTGTGTGTGTGTGTGTGTGTGTGTGTGTACACATATCAGAACTTATCAAATTTACATACCAGTTCTATTTTTTGGTGGAGTCTTCTGGTTTTCTTTATAGAGTATCAGGTCATCTGCAAATAGTGAGTTTGACTTCTTCCCTGCTGATGTGGATGCCTTTTATTTCTTTTTGTTGTCTGATTGCTGAGACTAGGACTTCCAACACTACATTAAATAACAGTAGTGAGAGTGAACATCCCTGTACAGGAAAAACTCTCAGCTTTTCCCCATTGAGGATGATATTAGCTGTGGGTCTTTCATATATGGTCTTTATGATGTTTAGGTATATTCCCTCTATCCATACTTTATTGAAGGTTTTTATCAAGAATTGCTGGTGTATTTTGTCAAATGCTTTTTCTGCATCTATTGGGAAGATCATATGGTTCTTATCCTTTCTTTTATTAATGTGGTGTATCATGTTGATTGATTTGCAAGTATTAAGCCAGCCCTGCAGCCCAGGAATAAATCCCACTTGATCATGGTGAATAATTCTTTTAATGTACTGCTGAATTTGATTTGCTAGTATCTTGTTGAGAATTTTTGCATCCATTTTTATCAGGGATATTGGCCTGTAATTGTCCTCTTTAGTGGGATCTTTGTCTGGTTTTGGAATCAAGGTAATGCCAGCCTCAGAGAATTGGTTTGGAAGTTTTCCTTCCATTTCTACTTTTTGGAACAGTTTGAGAAGAATAGGTATTATAACTCTTCTTTAAATGTCTGGTGGAATTCCCCGGGAACCATTTGGCCCTGGACTTTTGTTTGTTGGTAGATTTTTTATTACTGATTCAATTTCTTTGCTGATTATTGATCTGTCCAAATTTCCTATTTGTTCCTGTTTCAGTTTGGGTAGTTTATACGTTTCTAGGAATTTATCCATTCCATCCAGATTGCCCAATTTGTTGGCATATAATTTTTCATAATATTCTATTAAAATTGTATTTCTGTGGTATTGGTTGTGATCTCTCCTCTCTCATTTGTGATTCTATTATTTGGGTCCTTTCTCTTCTTTTTGATAAGTCTGGCTAGGGGGTTATCAATTTTATTAATTCTTTCAAAGAACCAGCTCCTGGTTTCATTGATATGCTCTACTGTGGGTTTTTGTTTGTTTTGTATGTTTGGTTTTTCTGGTTTCTGTATCATTTATTTCTTCTCTAATCTTTATTATTTCCCTTCTTCTGCTACCTTAAGGCTTTGTTGTCCTTTCTCTAGCTCCTTTAGGTAGGGTTAGGTTTTGTATTTGAGACTTTCCTTGCTTCTTGAGGTAGAACTATATTGCGATATACTTCCCTCTTATGATCACTTTTGCTTCATCCCAAAGGTTTTGAACCATCATGTTTTCCTTTTCATTTCTTTCCATGTATTTGCTTCTTTAATTTCCTGGTTGACCCATTCATTCTTTAGTAGCATATTGTTTAACCTCCATGTATTTATAGACCATAAATGGTCTAAATTTTTCTCTTGGTTGACTTCATGTTTCATAGCATTGCGGCCAGAAAATATGCACAGTATAATATCAATCTTTTTGTACTTGTTGAAGCCTGATTTGTGACCTAGTATGTGGTTTATTCTGGAGAAAGTGCCATGTGCACTCAAAAGTAACGTGTAATCTGCTGCTTTAGGATGAAATGTTCTGAATATCCGTCAAGTTCATCTGGTCCATAGGAGCACCTCGGTAGCTCAGTCAGTTAAGTGTCTGACTCTTGATTTTGGCTCAGGTCATGATCTCACGATTGTGAGACTGAGCCCCACATCAGGATTCTCAAGATTCTGAGATTCTCTCCCCGCCCCCTTCTCCCTCTGCCTCTCTCTCCCCCAATCTCTCAAAAACAAACAAAAAAAATCCACGTGGTCCAGTGTGTCATTCAAAGCCATTGTCTCCATGTTGGTTTTCTGCTTAGATGATCTGTCCATTGATGTAAATGGGGTTTTGAAGTCCCCCATTATTGTGGTATTATCAATGAGTTCTTTTATCTTTGTTATTAATTGTTTTATGTATTTGGGTGCTTCCAAGTAGAAGGCATACATATTTACAATTGTTAGATCTTCTTATTGGATAGTGCCCTTTATTATGATAGAGTGCCCTTCTTCAATTCTTATTATATCTTGGTTTAAAGTCTAGCTTGTCTGGCACAAAAACAGACACACAGACCAATGGAATAGAATAGAAACCCC